TATGCACAGAGGAAAGCCTTACTAACGTTACCATTAGTGTAGCGGGAAGACTGTGCCAAATTAGACAATGTCAAGCTGTTGTGGTCACGCCGTGACAGCGCTCGTGTCCGGTGTAGACGTACCAAGTCTGTGGTTACTTTATCACTGTTGCTGCGGGTTGTTTTAAACCTGGCAACCCTTTCCATCAAGCAATTATGTAATATGTAAATTATGTAAATAATAACTTATTATTGCTAACATAGCGAAAAATACATTGGCATCATCTGTATTAAAGAGAAAATAATCACTTCATCCGATGTTTAAGTGAATAAAATAGCTTTGACAGCTTTACTTACTGGAGTTTCATCACTATTGTTCTCTCTCACAAGACTTGTGTGTGGGTGATGTAAAAGAGGAAAGCAGGCATTTGGACCAGAGCACTTTGAGGCAAGGGAGGGGGACACTCAGAATGTTTTAAAACTTAAAATGCATTTTTGCCCCGTTTGTGTTGTTTTACTACCTACACAATTATTTAAAGTATAAAACACACACACACACACACACACACACACACACACACACACACACACACACACACAGAACATGTTTTGTGTTCCACAGAAGAAAATCGAACAGGTTTGGAACAACATGTGGGTGAGTAAATGATGACAGAATTTTAGTTAATCTGACTTTACTCAACCTGAAGCCATAAAAACATGTATAACTCACCAACCAGATGCCATAAACAGAAGAAAATAAGTACACAAGACATTTCTTCCAACCATATGAGAGAATCGAGGAAGTCAAATGAAGGAACTCTTCTGTCTGTCAGTACAAAGAACTACTCCAGTTGGACTTCATGTGGTTAAACGTCTGTTCCTCAATAGTCTCGTGTCGTCAGTGCCGTTGCATTCCGGGTGTCCCGAGTTCGAGTCCCGGCTCGCAGACCTTTCCCGATCCTGTCCCCCTCTCTCTCCCACTTCGCTTCCTGTCCTCTCTAGACTGTCCTATCATAATAAAGGCAAAAATGACGTGTAACGTTGCATGTTACAGTTTTTTTTAAATGCTTACACAGTTTTTGAAACTATGGCTCCATTTCTCAAAACTCTACACACAAAACACATACAACATGCAAAACGTCACACATATCTTGCAAAAGCAAACATTTCATTCAAAACTGTTTTAACTCTTCTAAAAATTGTATTTTTACAATTGTATTTTTACTTTATATTCACAAGCAGTAGTTCAAATCAGTCAACTACCATTTATGATAACGAAGGACAATTATTATTATTATTTTTTTCAACATTGTCACAGTACCCAAAGTATTCCTTTAACAATTAATGACAAAATAATTAAAATTTTAAACTGATTGTAAATATTGAGTTGTCTCTTCTGGTCAGATTTGTTTAATTACCAGTATTCAAAAATAGTACTCTTAAGTTATAGTGAGTTGGTTTATTGAAATTACATATAATTTTGATCAGATATTCAGAGACAGACTACAGATGGACAGTCAGACAGGATCTAGTGAAATAACTCCACTGTTTTGGAGTCAGGATGAGTTCGTTTGTTTCTCTTACGAATCCAAATTTGTCCAATTGCCCCTGACATTGCTTATATTCTGTTTTAATGGGGAATAGTCGCAAGCAGCAGACTGTTTGCGACTATTACAGTTTTTAAAATTGCTTAGACACTAAAAGTGGTACTTAAGGCCCACTCAGTGAAACCATTCACTTATATAACTAATCTTTAGACCAAGTCTGCAAAACTGCAAGCGCATTCTGTTTTTTTTTTAACTCAGCTTGCTAGTAAAACAGACTTTTTGCAAAACTCTAAACACCGTTCTCTACATTACACACATCATTCAAAACTAACAACTCTTTTGTTTCATTTGGGAAACACTGCCATTTAAATGCCACTCATTTACTGATGACCTGCACCAAGCGATCATGTGTGAAAACACATATACAATATTTGTTCACTTAGAAATCAAAACTCAGTGTTTTGAGAAAGAAAGTATTTTTACCCCCTTGCATTTCTGTTTACAATATATATATATATAAAATGTGGCGAGCTACCCAAGCACTCATTAGCGTTGTCATGGAGAAGGAGAGGATCCAATTGTTAGGAGGCAGAGTCTGGGAATAGGAGCCACCTGAGAGCTATCAGGAGAAGGGGATATAAACACAGCAGAAAGAAGCATTGGGGGAAGCAAGATCTTCTAAGACCAGGCTAACATTGTCTCTGGTTCTTTTCTCCTGTAGGCTCCAGTGATTATTGAGAAACCCAGACCACAAGGTTCCTGCAGGTTTCCACACCTTCACTTCTGCACTCTTCATGGCTGACAATCTGCTTCTTCTGCACCTAGGAGCACCTACACCACTTTCAATATTGTCACTCAATAAATGCCCCTCTGGGGTTAGCTCACCACATGTTGAGTCTGAGCCTCCTTTCTCTCGCCACACTATATATATATGAAATTGTGTACATGCGCGTGCACACACACATATACAGGTGCATCTCAATAAATTATAAGTTCATTTATTTCAGTAATTCAACTCAAATTGTGAAACTCGTGTATTAAATAAATTCAATGCACACAGACTGAAGTAGTTTAAGTCTTTGGTTCTTTTAATTGTGATGATTTTGGCTCACATCTAACAAAAACCCACCAATTCACTATCTCAACAAATTAGAATACTTCATAAGACCAATAAAAAAAACATTTTTAGTGAATTGTTGGCCTTCTGGAAAGTATGTTCATTTACTGTACATGTACTCAATACTTGGTAGGGGCTCCTTTTGCTTTAATTACTGCCTCAATTCGGCGTGGCATGGAGGTGATCAGTTTGTGGCACTGCTGAGGTGGTATGGAAGCCCAGGCTTCTTTGACAGTGGCCTTCAGCTCTGTA